ACTTACGTTTCAAAAAAAACTAGAAAAAATTATGTTTTTTAGTCAAAAAAAGTTTTTCAATGAGCCTAATATGTGCAAGTGCGGTTCATCTTAAATGAGTGATTCTGTATAAATAAGGAAAATGGAAAAATCTAAAACGGACTAAAAAAATTTTGAAAAACGGTTAAAAATAAGCAATTTTACATTTTTTGTAATTCAGGGTGACTCATCTGGCATGTCGGATTAAAATCATCTAAGACGAATCAACGTGTATACTAGAAAAAATTAAGTAAAACGATAAAAAATAATGATTTTAGTGAAAACAAACTTTTCAATAAGCCTAAAATGTGTATGTGCAGTTCATCTTAGCCGAATCGTTCTGTAGATATAAATAAGTAAAAGAAAAACGCAGTTTTTTGAAGAAATTGGCTAAACACAAATTGACTCATCTTAGATAACAAGTCGGATTACGAGAAAAGTCATCTAAGATGAATCGGCGTGTTTACTTACGTTTCGAAAATAAAAAAGATTAGGTAGTTAAAATATCAATAAAAATAATGTTTTATTTTAAATGAAAAAAGCTTTTCAATCAGCCTAATTGGCTAAATCATTCTGTATAAATAAGTAAAAGAAAAAAATTAAAAATGTACTGATCTTAAATTTTTGATTAAAATTAAATTTTTTGAAAAATACAGAGGTTTTAGCTGAAACTGTGTGTATATTTATCAAGATTTGAAAAAAATTGTTAAAAATAAGCGATTTTACATTTTTTTGTAATACAGGGTGACTCATCTGACACGTTGGATTAAAATCATCTAAGACAAATCAATGTGTATACTAGAAAAAATAAAGTAAAACGATAAAAAAATAATGTTTTTAGTGAAAAGAAGCTTTTCAATGAGCCTGTGCAGTTCATCTTATCCGAATCGTTCTGTAGATATAAATAAGTAAAAGAGAAAAATCTAAAGCTGCCAAAATTTTTTTTGTAGTTTTATGTATTTTCGTGACTATAGGATGATTCAAAATAAATGTCCAAAGTGACATAATGGTCATAGTTTACAAAAACATTAATTAAAAAACACAGTTTTTTAGTAAATACAAGGTTATTCAGCTGAAACTGCAAGTCTCAACAGTAATAAAAATCGTCTTAGATGAGTCATTGTGTATAGTTTTTATTTTGGATATTGGAAATAAAAAGTGATGAAGTGTTTGAAAAAATTAAAAATATTACTTTTATTGGTTTTAAGATTTTGCTATACACAGAGTGATTTGGCTAAGATGACATGCTCGATTAAAAAGTTATCTCTTTTGAAAAAACAGGAGATATAAGAAAACATAAGAAAAAATAAAGTATAAAAAATGAAATTTATTAGATTAAAAAAATAAATAAAGTTGGCAACAGCGCAAAAATATTTTCAGAATAAAGTTTTTAATGGCATTTTTTAAATTACAAATTATTTCTTAATTAATTATTATTATCAATTATTGGTTAAAGGTTCAATGATCCTAATACGTGTATGTGAAAGTCATCTTAGCTGAACTACTCTGTATCAATAAATGAAATAAAAATGTTGAACCAAAACACAAAAACTTCTGTTTTCGTGTTTTTTTTTTATAAATACAGAGAATGACTCAACTGACATGTTTATCAAATCAATTAATTAAAAAAATAAAAAATAGAAAATAAGTGAAGATTTGGACAAAAGATCAATTAAAACGATGAAAATAGTGTTAGAAAAAAAATTAATTCATTAGTCATCTTAGTTGAATCACTTTGTATGCATTGAAAAAAAAATGTTAAAAAAAATACTTTCTATTAAAATGTAATAATAAAAATTTTCATATACTACAGGATGACTCGGCTAAAATTACACCGTACTATAAGTAATTTTTTTAAATAAATTTTATATAAAAATTGACTCAAATCACGTGAGAAGAAGCAGTTTTTCTAGTTTTAAGATTTTCAGGGTGAGTCAGCGATGATGGTAGACCCGAAAACTTGTGGTTTTGCATTTTTTAGCACAATTTTCGTGTTTTAAAGTTTAAAAATGGCCAAATTACGCGGTATAAAAAGAAAAAAAATGTTTTTTTTGTCGTTTTTGCCATTTAGTGGCACTGAAGTCCGCCTCTGAGTTCTCAAATCGAATGAAAAAAGCGCAATCTCATCTCGTTTTCCTCTTCGACACCTCATGAATATGCATATTGCGAATGCGAACGCACATCTTGGAGATAAACTTGTAAATAGTACAAGAGTACAAGAATATTAATAGAGTAATAAGAACCAAGTAATGCAGCATTAGTAATATTGTGATTACCTGCATAAATAATGTAAATAGGAGAATTTTTATTATTACTTTATATGTATTTATCGTCAATACTCTTATTAAGAAAATAGTTTGAATACCAAATAACAAAAAATTCATTTACATCTAAGGCAAATACTGATGACAGTTCAATTTATTTTCTAGTTAATTAAACTATTATATTCCTCTATTTTTTATACTATTTTGTACTACTATTAGGAATTATTCTATACGAACTAAATGCTCAGTTAGTTTAACTAGAAACTAGAACTTGTACAGGTTAACATATTGTATCTAGTCAAATGTGTTATATTTTATCATTATTTTATGCTTGTACTTTAATTGGAATAAATATCTTTGCTTTTTTAATGGGTGTATAATTGGTTGCCTATCCTGCGTCGTAAACAACTAAACGTTTTTTGTGTAGTGTTTATTTTTTGAAAAAACCAATTAAGAGTGTTGACAAAAACTCTCAACTAGAAATTTTAACTTTATTTCGTGCTGAAATTGTAATTTTTTAAAGTTTTTAAAAATTCAGTCGTTGAAAACATCAAATTTCGTCTTTGATTTTCGAAATTTTAATTTTATATCCAGATTATCACATGAAATCTGTGAATTTTTACATTCTAACCTACAATTTTGTCAATTTTTTTCAGTCCTCAAAAACATTTTCATTTTTGAAATTCTAACCTAAAACTCGAAATTTTGAGATCATATCTATGAATTTTGACATTCGGTACAGAAATTATGCCAATTTTTTTCAAAATTCAGTCTTCAAAAGTATGAAACGTGTTTAATTCTCTGAATTCCACTTTCAAATTTAAAATTTTAACATCAAAACTATGAATTTTGGTGTTTTGTCCTAAAATTCTGTTTTGTTTTTGAAAATTCCGACTTTAAAATCATTAAATGTAATTTTTAGTTTTTGAAATTGTAACTTTAAAATTCGAAATTTTGACTAAAAATCTGTAAATTTTGACAATTTGTAATAAAATTCTGACATTTTTTTTAATTCAGTCTATAAATATCAAACGTGTTTAATTTTCCGAATTCTACTTTACTACTTTCAAAAATTTAGTCTTCAAAAACATTAGATTTCGGTTTTCATTTTTGAATTTTTTTGGAAATTTTGACTTTAAAAACAACAAATGTAATTTTTAGCTTCCAAAAACAATTTCATTTTCGAAATTCTAACCTAAAACTCGAAATTTTGAGATCAAATCTATAAATTTTGACATTCGGTACAAAGATTCTCCCAATTTTTTTCAAAATTCAGTATGAAACGTGTTTAATTCTCTGAATTCTACTTACAAATTCAAAATTTTGACATCAAAACTGTGAATTTTGACGTTTAGTTCAAATTTTTTTTTGGAAATACCTACTTTAAAATCAACAAATGTAATTTTTAGTTGTTGAAATTGTAACTTTAAAATTCGAAATTCTGACTTCAAATCTGACAATTTGTAGTAAAATTCTGTCAATTTTTTTTAATTCAGTCTATAAATATCAAACGTGTTTAATTTTCTGAATTCTAATTTACTACTTTCGAAAATACAGTGTTCAAAAACATTAAATTTCGGTTTTCATTTTAAAATTCTAAATTAAAAACTCAAAATTTTTTCACCAAATCTGTGAATTTTGACGTTCTGTCTTAAAATTCTATTTTTTTTTTTGGGAAATTTTGACTTTAAAAACAACAAATGTAATTTTTAACTTCCAAAATTCTAACTTTAAAATTTGAAATTCTGACTTCAAATTTGTAAATTTCGACAATTTTTTTTTTGAAAGTTCAGTCAAAAACCTTTTCATTTTCGAAATTCTAACCTAAAACTCAAAATTTTGAGATCAAATCTATAAATTTTGACATTCGGTACAAAAATTCTCCCAATTTTTTTCAAAATTCA